GCTAATTTTTTTCTATATATTTTTTAGTTGTCTGATTAATTTCTTTTTATTTTTAGTAGAGACGGGGTCTCGCTCTTGCTCAGGCTGGTCTCGAACTCCTGAGCTCAAACAATCCGCCCGCCTCGGCCTCCCAGAGTACTAGGATTACAGGCGTGAACCACCACGCCCGGCCAAGATTATAAATTTTATGATTATCTTTGTAGAGTATAATTTCTGGGAAGTAATAATAGTATTGTTTATTAACTTTTGTGATCTCATAACCCTGTATCCAGTTTAGTTAGAATTTTATTTATTTATTTATTTTTATTTTTTTTCAATTTCAGAATAAAAGCAATTGGATAATAACATTAATATATGCTAATATTTGTTTATTGACTTTGTACTGTACTAGGCCACTGTACTACACCATCTCTAATTCTCAACAATTACGCAGGATAAGTGGATATTGTCCCAATTTTATAGATAAGGAAATATAAACTACAGAGAGATTTAGTAACTTATCTAAGGACATGAACAGAGCTTGATTTAAAAGTGTCCCGGCCACGTCATTGCCTAGGTAAACAATCTTTAGGGGACAGTAAAATATTCCTGGAAATATTTCATGATGTAGAAAATTACAAAGGTCAGAATCCTTCTTAAGTAGAGGTTGGAAGAACACTTTGATAGGCTGCCTTGGTATGTGATGGAAGTATAGAGGAAAGCCCCCTTCACCCATCACCCTGCAGCATTCAACATTTCTAAATGTTAAACAAATATGCAAAGAATATGTGTTTGGAGGGGTAAAAAATTACTAAGCTTGTGTAGGGACCCATATGTCTGAGTTAGGGCTAGTAACAAGGCTTTTAAGTGATAGAGCCACAGTTTGAACCAGTTCATATCTGACTTCTATATCATACCTCTCCCAAAAGTGAATAGTACACACTAAAGTAATTGAAAGGTTTTTTTTCTTTCATTTTGTGAGCTGTACTGAATGATACCACTGTTGGCTCTTACCTTTACTAAGACTGATTTTTATCCAGTAACAATAAAAGGAAGAATGATCATTTATCTGCTAAGATTTGTATGGCATCAAGCCCTATTTTTAAGTTAGGTAAGAAGATGAACAACAGGGATTGGCAAACTTTTTCTGTTAGTATAAAGGGATGATGGTAAATTAGACCTTGTGGGCCTAAGGTCTCTGTTACAACTCTTCAGCTCTGCTCTTGTAGCTTGAAAGTAGCCATAGATAATATGTAAACAAACAGGCATTACTGTGTTCCAGTAAATTTTTATTTTAAAGAACAGGCTCAAACTGAGAAATTGGGTCTTAAGCCATAGTTTACCATTCCTGATCAAAAAAATACTTTCAAATGAGCTCCTTTTAAGAACATATTTTTTAAACTATTATGATATTTATATATTTTAGAAGAAGATATATATTCTTGAGGTAGCAATGATGATCATATTGATGATCATAATAATGATCATATTGAAAAGAATCAGATAATCATCACATAATGAATTAATGCTAGAGAATAGCAGGTATTTCTTAGAAGGGAAGGATATTGTAGTTCAGTTTCTAGCTCTGACACTTACCAACTGCATGGGCTTCAGTAATTCCCTCAATCTTTCTCTTTCTTTCTTTGTAAAAAATGGAGGTATGGTACTTATTTCCTGTGAAGATTAAATGATTTATTTGTTTATAAAACAAACTTATTTTATGCTATTCATGTAACAGGCACTGTGATATGAGCTGGGAATTGGAAAATTTAAACAACAAGTAGTCTTTTACCTCAAGCAGTTTGTAGTCTAGTAAAGGAAACAGAACCAGAAACAGGCAGCCTCCATGTGATGTGATTAATACTACACCTGAGACATATACAAAGGTCAATGGAGTAGAAAAGGGTAGAGCTTGCCATCATATGAAAATGGAGCATAGTATCCTGTCATTATGAACAAAACATAAGTTTCATCATTGCTGCCACCTCAGAGTATTAAAAAGGGGTATAAAAAAGAGTATAAAAAGTCCTTTTGTTCCTTAAAGACTATGTCTCGGTATTCTAATCTCTTCTCAACAATCTTCTGCAACACCTGTTTATGCTCATATTCTCCCGTTTAGAAAAAAACCTGCTATAGTACACTTTAAGTGACACTTAGAAGGACCTGAAAAGGCCGAAGTAATTTTAATCCACTTTATTGAGGTATAATTTACTTGTAGTAAAATGCACCCAGTGTAAATGTAGAGTGTGATGAGTTTTGACAAATGTACACTCCCATGTTCCCATTTCCCTTATATCAAGAAATAGAACATCTCCATTACTTTAGAACATTTTTGCCCTATTACAGTTAATCCCGATCCCTACCCTTGGCTCCAAGCCCCCACTGATCTGCTTTCTATAATTATAGATTAGTTTTTTCTGTTCTTAAATTTTATGTAAAAGGAATTATACAACATGTATTCTTTTGTATCTGGCTTCTTTTGTTCAGTATAAAATTTTTGAAATTCACCTATGTTGTTATTTATATCAGTAGTTCATTCTTTTTTTTATTGCTAGCAGTATTGCATTATATGGATATTCCATTCACCAATGTTTGACATTGAGGTTGTTGCCAGTTTGGGGCTATTACAAATAAAGCAACTGACTATATACATTTGTTTACAAGTCTCTATTTGAATATATGTTTTCATTTCTCTTGGGTAAATACCTAGAAGTGGAATTGCTGGGTCTCATGGTAGGTATATGTTTTACTTTATAGGAAACCGCCAAACTCTTTTCCAATTTCATTGTACCTTATTACAGTTCTACCAGCAATATATGAGAGTCCATTTGCTACATATCCTTGCTAATGCTTCATATTATCAGTCTTTTTGATTTTAGTCATTCTAGTGAGTATGCAGTACTATCTCTGAGGTGTTTTAATTTCCATTTCCTTCATGGCTAATGATTATGTGCATCTTTTCATGTGCTAATTGGCCATTTGTATATCTTATGTTATAAAATATCTGTTAAAATCTTTTGTCCATTTTTATAAAATGGATTTTCTTTTTATTGAGTTGTAAAAATTCTGTATGTATTTTGGGTTCAAGTCCTGTCATATTTGTATTTAAATATTTTTCTCAGTCTGAATTGTCTTTTCATTTTCTTAACAGTGCCTTTTGAAGAACAAGTTTTAAATTTTTATGAAATCCAATTTATTTAAAAAAATTTATGACTAGTGCTTTTTGTATCCTAAGAGATCTTTGCCATTCCCAGGGTCAAAAAGATTTTCTGTTATTTTTTTTATCTAGAAGTTTTATAACTTTAGGTTTCACATCTAAGTCTCTGATCCATTTCAAGTTAATTTTGTATATAGTGTAAGGTAAAGTCAAGGATCATATTTTCCCCTACTAGTATCTGGTTATTCCAGAACACTCTTTCAAAAAGACTGTTCTTTCTGTATTAAATTATCTTGGTTTTTTTCCTCTATTCTGTTCTATCGATCACTGTGTGTATCTTCATGTCAATACCCATATGTCTAGTTATTGTAGCTTTATTGTAAATCTTGAAATCAGTTAGAGTAAGTCCTCCAATTTTATTCTTTTTCAATAATAGGTTGGGAATTCTAGGTCCTTTGCATTTCCCCATAAATTTTAGAGTCAGCTTGGCAATTTCTACCAAAAAAGCCTGCTGGAAGATTGATTGTTATTTCATTGATTCTATAGACCAACTGGGGACAGTTGATATCTTAACTTTAAGTCTTCCAAACCATGAATGTAGTATATTTCTCCATTTATTTAGGTTTTCTTTAATTTCTTTCAGTGATGTTTTGTGATTTTCAGTACATAAATCTTTGTTGAATTTAAACCTGGTTTTTTTCATGATTTGGGGTGCTATTTTAAATAGTATTGTTTTTCAAAAACTTTATTTTCCAATTGTTCATTGCTAGCATTTAGAAATACAAGTGATTTTGGTATATAACTTTCTATCCCATGACCTTGCTAACTTCACTTAACAGTTTTTCTCTTGATTCCTTAGGATATTCTTTGAACATATCAAGTATGCAAAGCAGTCTAGACCTCTAACCATTTTTAAACCTGCCTTACTTTCTATGTGTTTATGCTTGTTCATTTGTGAAACATGTACTGGAAAACCTCCTTTGTTTTAGGCATAATACTAGGCTTTGTAGATACAAAGAGTCAAAGAACTCATTGTCTAAGGAAGGGGACAGATAAGAAAGTGAGTATATATGATAAAGTGAGATAACCATGGTAATAAATACAAGCCAGGCCTCCTGAAGACCTTTGGTTTCTTAACAGATAGCCTGCTTTGAGGACATTTGAAATGATAAACAGAACTTTCTAAACTTTTGACAGAATGAAAAGAGTAACTATAATTTACAAGTATCTCACCTAACTTTTCTATCACCTTTGGATACTTACTGATGGCTAATTATTTGTTCATATTTCCTTACTTACTGAACATCTCCTGTGTGTCAGGCACTATCCTTTGCTAGGTGTATGAAAAAAAATAAGATTTTATTCCTGCACACAAAGAATTCACAGGCTGGTTGGGGAGACAGATAAGAGAAGAAATAATTATAATAGAGTGATATTTTCTATAATAGTGTTCCTTAGTTAGGGATCATTACTTGCAAGATACAGAAACCTTGTCAAGCTAGTTAAGAGAGATTTATTTATTGTAAGGATATGAAGAAATTATATGGAACCAAATAGCAGAAAGGACAGCCTCACCTCACTGGAACTGGAAGGGCAGTTTCTTCCTTCCTCCCTCTTTTCTGCATTCCTTCCTCTCCACATGGCTTCAAATGTTTGTATCTGCTTTATTTTTCTCTCCCTGCAGATTCCTTCTCTTGCTTATTCATTCACTTGTTCATTCATTTTGGCTGCCCCCAAGTATCAGCCTTAGACCTCTAGTCCATGACTTTATACTTGGATTCTCTGTATTTAATTGATTTGGTCTCTGGCTCCCAAACTTCAGACTTCCAGGAGAGAGCCTTTCATTGTCCCAGCTTAAGTCAGGCATCTACTGCTAGTCCCTCTAGCTTCTTGGGGGCAGTGCAGGTTTTCCTAGAGAATAATGTGGGTGGAAAGAAATGATAGGTATCACTAGATCACAGAATCATATAGGCAAGTGGCAAAGCAGCATTCTATTTGTTCCTAGTTATATATTCTAAAAAAAGTTTCTTTCTCTCTCTCTTTTTTTAAAGGTTTGAATGTTTCAAGATCAAGAACTCTGTAAACTACCATCTGCTTTTTACTTTAGTTCTATTCAGTTTAATAGTAACCACAGTAAGTCATATTTTGTTCTAACAGATTAAGCATGTTAATTAGCCATTTATAGAGTTTGGCATATTTTACTTCCAGTATTTGCTTCATGCTATCAAACTGAAATGTTTCTACACAAAACTAGACTATCTCACTGACAGATACTGCTTCTTTGTTTCCTGTTCAAGTGTTATTTCTCACTGTAATTAAAATCACTTTTTAAAATCTGGTTTTTTTTAAAGGGAAAAAGTCAAAAAGCAAATATTCAGTAGCAATGGAAAAAAAATAATTTATCTCATGGATGGATATATTATCTCCTGTTTGTTAAAAATGAAATTGGCTCTGCTTCATTGGGCCCAGTGTGATTATTTCAATGATTGACCTTTTTCAAATAAGTTGAGATTTCAACAAATATTTATTGAAAACCTACCATGTCAGGCACCAAAAATACAAAGATGACTAAGAGGCAGTTTGCTATCTGTGAGCAGCTCATTCTATTAGGGAAGTCAGACATGCAAACAAAGAATTGCATCAAAAGATGATAATTGCACTAACAGAGGTAAAAACTAGTTATATGGTGATGAGACAAAGGAGGGTCATCAAATCTGCAAGAATGGGCCTAGGAAAGTTTCAGAGAGGAGGCACTTGAGCTAGATTTGAACTGATAATTAGGAGTTCATGAGTCCCCTGGGCAAGGGTGTGGTGAAGCATTTCTAAATAGACTATTGATATTCATAGGCATAGAACCTTGGAACAACATAATGAACTACCATTTTTAATTACTTACTATGTGCCAGATGTTATACTGATTACTTTACTTTTATTGTCTCATTAAATCATCAGCACTAGTAGAATTGGGAGAGATTTAGTAAGGATAGGTAAGTTCCACTTGAAATGTGTTGAGATTGAGGTGTCTGGCATTAAAGACATCTGAGACTTAACAGGTAGGCTGAGCTAAATATGTAGATTTGGGAGTTGTCAGCGTGTAGGTAGTACTAGAAATGTGGGAATAGATAAACTGGCACAGAAATAGCATAGACCATTAAGATGACTAAAGCTACAACCCTATGGAATGCTGACATTTGAGGGCCAGGTAGAAGAAATGGAGCCAGCAAAGCACACCGAGAACAAGTAATCAGAGATGTAGGAAAGCTAGGAGAGCCTGACGTCACAGAATACAAAGATTTCTAAAAGTGAAAAGTAAGTAACAGTATTCTTTATCTCTGAAAGGATGAATAAAATGAAGATTGAGAGCTAACTAATAGAAATTTCCAATTAGAAGAACCAGGTAACCTTAATAATGATACTTTCAGCAGTAAACTGATGGAGGCAGAAGCTAGATTTCAGTTAGTTGAGATGTTGAATAGGAAGTTGAAAGAGCACATATACACTATTTTCTTAGGTTTCTACATTCCTTTGCCTGAACTACATATTGGTTAATCCTGAAAGAATCCTAGAACTTCAGAGATGAAGTGAAGTCTTGTTACTGTATAAAAGAAGAAAATAAAGTCCAGAGAGTGACTTGCCTGGCCAACCAAGTTTATATAGGGAATTGGTGGCAGGGTCAAGACTAGACAGATCCCTTTGTCAGTTAAGAGATGATACCAGAATCAGGCTTTGGAGTCAGTCCAATCTGAGTTTGGATCCAACACTGTTATTTAGTAACTGTGGGACTTTCGGCAAGTTACTTAATCTCCCTCAGCCTTAGTTTTCCTTATCTTTAAAATAAAGGTAATGATAATATACATTTTATATTAGTTGTGAAAATTAATACCTGCTACATAGTAAGGACTCCATAATTCTTTGCCTTAAAAAATGTCTTTAAGAGGCATGCCCTTTTGCATTTTTTATTAATAACAATGGGAATCAGATAGAATTAACTATATAAAGGGAAATTAGTATTTTGAAATAAGGAATTTTAGAGATTAAAAGCATTTGCCTTTACTGGGTTTAGAATTACAAATATATAATGTCTCATACACCTTATACTCTTAAAGCTTGATTGGTGTTTCAAGGAAATAATCTGGTCTTTTTGTAGTGAGGGTAAAAACTTCCTCTGAAAATAAGAAATTTTGTAGCCAAATTATAAAATCATGTAAACTTTTATGAGATCACTACATTAAGTGAAGATATAGAAATATCTAAGCCCAGTCCTTGCTATCAAAGAGATTATAGTCTCGTATGGAGAGAAACACACTAATAAATGCCTTAATGTTTATACATGGACAGTGGTGGTAGAAAGGAGAGTGAATGGTTATTTCTGCTACATCAGAGATCAAGGATCAAAAAGACTTCGAGAAGGAGGTATAGTGTGAATTGAATCTTAAATCATGAGCAATGAGTAGGGTAGGATTTCTGAACAAAGTAAAGAGCAGCATGTTTAAAGAGGCAGAAGCATGAAACTAGCATATTTGAGGAAGCACAGTACTTTCTGAAGCTTTAGATGAGAAGGAGACAAGAAGATAGCAGTGAGGCCAAACAGAAAGGTAGGAGTCATGGAAGGCTTTGAATGTCAGGCTAAGAAATGTGAACTTTTTGCTTGATGACTTGGGATATAAAAAAAGAAAGGAAATTCAAACTTTGTCTTATGTATGATCAGAGTTATTGAAGGGTTATGATTTGAATTTTGATTCCCCTGTACCATGTCATTTAAAATATGCTCCTATAGGGCAATACATACATGTTAAGTCTTAAAATGGCACTAAACTTAATCATCCGCATGACATCGGGAGCCTAAAAGTAGGGTTGCTGTAACTGGCAATGCATCTAGGAGAGTGAGAGATTTTTGGAAGCAGAAGAGAGGGCGAGACACTTGTTTTAAATGTCTTCACTTACTGAGCAGCTACTAGGTGCTAGACACTTTGTGGTATTCCTCACCATTATTATTCTTCATTAGCCAGATAAGGAAAAATGAGTATTTTGATTAAATGACTTGTTGAAGGTATGTAGCAAATAAGGGGCAGAGTTTGAAATTTAACTCCCGTCTCTAACTTTAGAGTCCAGTGTTCTCTCTACTGTAGAACAGATCTGCTACAGGGATTGTCCATGTAACCTCCTCACTCCTCATGAGTATCCATACCTTTATCCCTCCTTAATGCTGATGCAGAGGCCAAGAGGTCAGAGTAGTCCACAATAGATTTGAAACATTTTGTTTACCATGGAAGGACTAGCACTGGGGTAGATCCCCCTGTAGGTACTAGCTCTTCTGTGGTATGCTACCTGATCTGATTGGTTTTACATGGCTGGAGTCAAGTCTAAGCAGGATGGGGGAGGCAAAGAAGTTTGGGATTTGCAGAGTAGTGGGAATAGGATTTTTCCCTCTCCATGATGTACTTCATTCACATGTGTTTCTTCTAATATTTTGCAGGTTTACCTTAAGGTAAAAGAGCCTATATTCCATCAGGTAACTTTTTTTTAATTATCAGCATTTGATTGTTTAACAATATATGCCTGCTTTGTGTTTTTCTTTTCTAGGAAATTGTATGCAGATACAACTTTTGAAAATGCAGTGGTAGATGTCCTAGGAAAATTCAGTGTTCAAAACAGAGGTTGCAAACTCAAATGCCTTCAGGAGCCAGGTGTGGGTAACAGAAATCTACCTGGGACAGCCAATGCCCAGGTCCAGCTGGCTGTTGGTATTTAGTAATGCAGGCGCCACATTGCTCTTACAAGCAGAAGGAACCAGGAAGACAGACTGGAAATTCCTTGAATATTTTCCCCCTAATATATTTTAATAAGTTGTTAAACATGGGAGGTTATTTACATTGAAGGAAGCAAACACAGGAAACTTTGTTGTAGGAAATGATAATTTAAGTGCTTCCCATTATGAAACCAGAGCAAAATAAAGTAGCAGACGTTAAGTACAGAGAGCTGTTATTTCTTGAGTGCTACCATGTATGTGCCTGGTACTATGCTCATTACTACACAGACTTCTCATCTTACCAACAGTCCTGCTAGTGATTATCGTCCATATTTTAAGGTAATTGAATAGTCTGGTTTTTCTTCAGATTGTACATATCTTTTGCCTTTGAGGTAATTGAGCTTAGAGATATTAAGTAATTTGCTTCAAAGTGACATGGTTATTAAGGGGCAGAGAGCCAGGACTGTAGTCCATATTTGTCTGATTCCTAGTCACCATCCTTTTAAAAAAGTAGCAAACAAACAAAAATAAATAAGCACATTTTTCAGGGATTTAGTAGGGGTAGATAAGTGTCAGAGGCTTTGTAGTTTTAAAATATTTTGTGCTTATATAAAAAATAAACAATCAAATGCTGTCACTTTTTAAACTCAAGCTATACAAAAGTCATCTAACTGAAATCTGTTTTTTGAAGTAAATTCCACAACTGCATTATTGTGCCTTGCTTTTCTCCAGGCCAGCTGAAAGTAGATGCTACAGGAAAGGACATCCTCCCTTTCTTGTTTATTGTAACTTGAAATGATGTCATTATGTAATTTCCCTTTTATCATGAAAGAATTATTAACAATATAAAAACAAAGTTAATTTATGTGAATAATATTTCAGTTTTTATAAATTTCTTATTTGCTTTAAGAAAAAAATCATAACTACAAAAAAAACACAACATTTGGAAGTTTTAGGTTAGTTTTTTTAAGTTTGTGACCATCAATTTTTCATTTTGTATTTTAGACCTATTTGACACTATGTTTATGTAATAGAAATAACTATTAAAGTGACTTCCCCTGCTGTAATATCCATGTGTTTTTCCAGTAATATTATTTTCTTCTCCATGTATAGCAGCAATATTTACTGATAAGAAGGGAAGCAGGATGAAAACTAGGTCTGCCCATGCCCATTGTGGCTTATGTCCTAGGCCTAGAGATTAAAAATCAGGATAGAGTAATGAAGAAATGGGGGATGCTAGGGTGAAGCAGATAATAATCTAAAGATAAAAGACTTTCATACATTGAACAGATATCCACTGTATAACTTCTCAGTACCATATTCTGAGCTAGAAGTTGGAGATAGAGAGAGTAGAGCAAAGTCTTTAAAATCTAAAGTCAAGTACACATGGATTCAAATCTAGTCTCCTCCACGTACTAGCTGTACATCTTGGACAAGTTACTTAAGCTCCCAGAAATTTGGTTTCTTCACTGTTCAACAAACACTTTTCAAGTGACTTCAATGTGCCAGGCACCATACTAGATAAAAGAGATACAATAGTGAATAAAATAGCAAGGTCTCTCCCTTCAAGGAGCTCATTACTATACCTTAGCTCTAAAACTGGTATAATAACTTCCTAAGGTTGTCTGAGGATTAAATAAAATAATACATATAAAACCTTTGTCACATAAAAAACACTCAGTAAATGTTAACTAGTATTAATATACCAAGGCAAATAAGATGTGACTGCTGGTCTCAAGGAGGTCACTGCCTAATCAGGAATATAGACTTGTAAAACATAATTACAGTATATAATTCTTATAATAAATATGTAAAAATAGTGCTAATACAGACAAAGGCATGCTTGGTCCGCTTAGATGACTCAGAGGAAGGGCTTTAGGAGAGTCTTGAAGGATGAACAACGTGTCACAAAGTAGGCAAGTTGAGGAAGGATATTCCATCCAGAGAGAAGCATATGTTAAGTTACATAAGTGTGGACTGGTAACTGTTGCACATGAAACAGAAGTACAAGTTCACCCAGAGGTTTTTGGTAGCATGCTGAGGTATTTACAAAACCATTGACTGCATATGAAAATGGCCTGTCTTCCTAGAACATTTATTTTAAGCATATTGTTGGAATTAAACTTTTTTAATTAAAACAAATGTAGATATGTTATAGAATACAGTGACCACATGAATTTTTAGGATGAAATAGGAAACCTCAAAGAAATTTGTGTTTTCAGTTGTGCCTCTCCTATCTCTGTCCATCAGGAATAAGTTATCCTTCCTCTGACATTGGGAATACTTCTGTAGAAAAGTTTAAAAAGCACCAGTATCCTATAAATATTTGGTATGGCTGTCTTAGCTGTAAGAGAGAGGTTTGGATTACTGGTGAGGGGTTAGATCATGAAAGTCCTTTATGCTATGCTTAAAATTATAGGAATCGGGGGCCATTAAAGGCTTTTAAGCTGCAGTATGACCGGATCAGATTCTCATTTAGAAAGATTCATTGGAAGGCTACCCTAGGGGTTGGAGGAAGGAAGTAAAACGGGAAGTAAAGAGACAAGTTTATAGTTCATTGAGAAAGGATGAAAAAAATACAACAGTGCTAGAATATCATAAGAAACAATAAAATTATTGATATAACAAGTAAATTTATATTATAGTATACTTATATATTAGAAGGTAAGTGCTATTAAAAAAAGAAAAACCATATTAGAGTAGGGGGACGTCCTTCCACTTGCCTCCTCCTTCAGTTTCTCCACTTACACTACCTTCTTGCTTTATATTTCAAACACAACAAGCTTGTTTCTACTTTAGAACTTTTGTACTTACTGTTCCCACTGCTGAGGATACCAATATCCCAGCCGTCTAATGGCTTACTTCCTCCATTCATTCAGGTCAAATGATAACTTAGCACAGAGGCCTTCCCTGACAACTCTATTTAAAATTACACCCCATCCTTCTCTATGTTGTTATCTTGATTTAGTTTTCTTCTTAGCGTGTATCAACCCCTGACATTATGTATGTGTGTGTGTTTATTTCAAATACAATTTATTTATTTTGTCTCCCTTATACAAACCTAGAATGCGAGCCCCATGAAAGCAAGGAGCTGCATCCTCACAGCCTAGAAGAGTGGCAAACATTAGGTCATTAAATATGAAATGTCTGACTTCAAATCAAAAGTGTAGTTTATTATATCTCAAACAAGAAGCAGTACAATTAATCAAAGTATGTGCCTTAACAATCGACACAGTTTTGCCATCTTAACGGTAGCTTGTTTATGGCAGCAGCAAAGAAGCCTGGAGAGCAGGTGGCCATGAAATCACATAAGGCGTTTTCCACAGCTTGTTGAGAATTGAAAATTTGTCCTTGCAAGAAGTGGTCCAAAGCCTGGAAGACGTGGTACTCAGTTGGTGCAAGGTCTGGTGAATATGGTGGATAACAGAGAGTTTCCAAGTCCAGCTACTGTAGTTTGAGCAGTGTTGTTTATGGAACATATTGTCTTGCAAGAGGATTGGCCTATATCTACTGACCAATCTCAGCTGCTTAATTGCAAGCATCCTCATCATTATCCACCTTGGTCTTAGGTCACCCATGTGGCTCATTTTCAAGATTAAAATCACCAGAATGGAACTTCTCAAACCATCGATGTACTGTGTGTTCGTTAGCCACATCCTTCCCAAACACTTCTTTGATATCTTGAGCTGCTTGCACTGCATTGGTTTGGCAATGGAACTTGTATTCAAAAATAACTCAAATTTTTGACTTATCCATGGTTTCACAAAAATTGCTTTAAAAAAATTCGAAAGGTAATCACAAGCAAAACTATGTGTTTGAAAGAATGAGGATGTACCTTCACAATAAAAATAAAACAAGAAGTGTCAAAGTGAAATGTCAGAGATCTCAACTTGTTGAACTTCGTACTTAAGGAAATTGGACATTTCATACTTAATAACCTAATAGTAGGTAATGATTAAATACTTGTTTTATGAATCAATGGGGTATGCTCATGAAAGTCGGTAGCTGAGACAGGGTAGGGAAAGATCATTGACAGTGAGGAGATGAGGCCAGAGTATTAAAGGGATCATTTTATTAAATGCAGCATTTGTAATTATGTAAAAAGAACAGTGGAAGCAAAGAAGGCATGCCTAAATGTACCTGTAGTGACACTTTATAGAGCATGTATCATTTAAGCTGTGAGTTAAATAAGAGTTTGTAGGGATTCTAGGCTAAGAGAGGAGTATGTTCAAAACCAAGGAAGAGGTCTGGGCACGGTGGTTTACGTCTGTAATCCCAGTACTTCGGGAGGCCAAGGGAGGAAGATCGCTTGAGGCCAGGCACTTGAGACCAGCCTGGGCAACATAACAAGACCCCATCTCTAGGCAGGGCGTGGTGTAATCCTAGCACTCTGGGAGGCCGAGGCGGGTGGATCGCTTAAGGTCAGGAGTTCAAGACCAGCCTGAGCAAGAGCAAGACCCCATCTCTACTAAAAAATAGAAAGAAATGATCTGGACAACTAAAAATATATATATAGAAAAAATTAGCCAAGCATGGTGGCACATGCCTGTAGTCCCAGCTACTCGGGAGGCTGAGGCAGTAGGATTGCTTGAGCCCAAGAGTTTGAGGTTGCTGTGAGCTAGGATGACGCCACGGCACTCTAGCCCGGGCAACACAGTGAGTCTCTGTCTCAAAAAAAAAAACAAATAAAAAAAACAAGACCCCATCTCTACAAAAAAGTTTTTAAATAGCTGGTTGTCGTGGTGTATGCCTATAGTTTCAGC